CCTCATTTCCAGAGATCTTTGTTGAAGGGCCTTTGGCACGGAGCATGCTTGTGAGTCACCCAGTCTTGTTCGCAACAAGCCTGTTTGCCTTGCACGTTGTGCTTCCTTTCGTTTGTGTACTTTCAAGATCTAGGAAACTAAAGCCAAGCAGAGGCGTTAAGAAGGCGCTGAAAGGCTGCATGCATGGCGCGCATGAGGAAACAAGCCCTCCTGGGATGGAAGCAACCGCGCCACAAATGTGCGCAATCTTGTCTTCACAAGAAGAACGCAAGGATAGTCTGGGCAACAACAGAAAAAATCACACACAAAGGTCAAGAACTGATGGAAAATGAAAATGAGCAGCCACAAACATACATTGCGATGGGCAGAATGAAAAAATAAAAAACAAGCCAAAATCAACAGAATGCCAAAAATCTCGTATGAACCAGCACATTCTTGTAAAAGTCAAAGACACGTGTTGTCTGATTTCTTTTCTTCCTTGTTTCCTTGTGGAGCTCATTCTGCACGCAATGGCCACGGGCAGCCCTCTGAAATGCGAGTCCCAGGGTGTGCTGCGTGTAGCGGCGTGCAAATCTACATTTTTTAGCTGTGTTTTGTGCGCCTTCGGGCTCGGCCTGTGGCAGATGCTGGATGCTGATGGACTGTTGTGATTGTGGTGCTCTACCTGGTGTTGTCTGATATTCTTGATGACAGGTGTGTGGCCCGGAGAACGCAAGTCCGCTGGAAAGGATGCTTTACTTTTACATACTTTTACTGGGACTTCCCTGGCTTGCTACAAGTTGGTTTGTTTCTGGTGGCTGTGCATGTTATCTTTCCTTTCGGTTTTGCATTTGGGAAAGAGCAGGGAATCTCAAGCAAGAAGGTGACGAAGGTGCAGAAAGACTTCATCCATACAGGCAGACAAAGAAAGAATGCCACTGAAGATGAGAGCAACCGGCCACACATGCTGCAGGCTAGTCTTCACAAACACAGAACAGCAGGGAAAACAAAGAATCAGGTCAAAAAATACTGATGAATATTGCAGCAAGAACCGCTGGTGATCGTCATAGCATGAGAGGAAGCCAAACAAAATAAGCCCGATACCGAATACAGAAACCTTTCTTGCAGATTCAAAGACAAAGAAAGCTGATATTATCCTATGTGTTCATTCAATTTTTTTGCTGGGGGTCCGTCGGGGACGCATCGGCCAGGGCAATGCCTTATGAAATGCTCGTCCCAAGATGTGAATGTGTCTTGCAGCGTGTGAATTGCCATTTTATAAGGGCGCTTTGTCCGCCTTCAGTCTCACCCTGTGGCAGCTGCAGGATGGTGATGGATGGTGGTCATCAAAGTTTTTTTGAAGGGCCTTTGGCACGGAGCATGCTTGTGAGTCACCCCGCCATGGGTCGCCACAAGCTGGTTTGTTTCTGTCTTCCGTGCACATTGTGCTTTCTTTCGTTTTGCACTGTAAAGAGCTGCGAAACTAAAGCAGAGGCGTGAAGAAAGTAAGGTGCCGTGGTTCCGCCTGGTCTCTCCACACGGCGTTGCTTGCCAACCCAAAAGCACGCTTAATTAAATAAATAAATCAAAAAAGCTCCAAACCTATCCTGAATAAGCTCTAAACCAGCCCTGAGTAGATCATGAACAAACCCTGAACCAACCCCGCTTAAACCCCAAGCAGACCCTAAATAAACACTAACTAACCCTAACCCGCTCCCCCCCCGCTTTGTGTCATGCTGGAATCCACAAGAACAGATTTGATGGCCGCAAACTCAAACTTTATAGTTTCTTATAAAATGACTGTCCGCCGCTCCATTACAAGCATTCCGAACCATCATTTTATAAGGCAATGTTCTCCAAATGTTATTAAATGACTACTAGAGTCTATACATGACAAGTTTAAAAGGAACCATGATTTTATAACCCCAACATGTAATAAAAAAAAAGTATACAAATATATTGTTTTTATGCTGACCCCGCCCCCCCCATGTTTTCTCCTGAGGAGATGCAGGGGTTTGCCATTTTATAACCACCAGAAAAAGGGGCGGTTTATAAAATGACAGTTCGAGTGAGCCACTTCCCAAACCCGTTATTGCAAACGACTCCAATTTATAAGAATTGTCATTTTTGATTTTTAATGGTGGGCCACGATTATTATTTATAAAATGCGCCCCCCAGGTGGCGCTGATCTATAAGGGATATTGTAAGGGGGATCTTAAAAATATATATACCCGCTGGTGTTAAACACCATGTGGACGCTTGCAGTTTTAACAGGCTGCAATTTGAACCAGGTCCGAACGAGGTGCGAACGAGGTCCGAGCGAGGTCCGAAATCCAATTTTGGGAAAAACTGACCCCCTAAGTCTCCTGACAGACTCTTTGGTAGCCACACGCTTTCGCATGCTTTCAGCGGTGGAGCAGAAGAGGAAACCAAGCCAAGCAGCAGTTGCAGCATGCATGACCTATGTTCGTTTATCTGCATGATATATGATATGTGTATTGTTTGCGTTTGAAACCTTGTTGCTGTTCAAGTCTTTCCCTGTCGTTCCAAATCTCTTTTTTTCGTCGCAGCGTTGTCCGCTTCTTTCAATAAGTCTTTCCTCTTACTTGCTTCTCCTTCCTCTTCGTTTAAACTCGGGCGTTTTCGTTGTGGGTCTTTCCCTGTCGTTCCAAGACTCCTTTTTTTCGTTGCAGCGTTGTCCGCTTCTTCAATAAGTCTTTCATCTTAATTACTTCTCTTTCCTTTTCGTTTAAACTCGTGCGTTTTCGTTGTGGGTCTGTCCCTGTCGTTCTAAGACTCTTTTTTTTCGTTGCAGCGTTGTCCTCCTCTGCTAATAAGTCGTTCCTCCTAATTGCATCTCCTTCCTTTTCGTTGGAACTCGTGCGTTTTCGTTGTGGGTCTTTCCCTGTCGTTCCAAGACTCTTTTTTTTCGTTGGACTCTTTTTTTTCGTTGCAGCGTTGTCCGCTTCTTCAATAAGTCTAGTGCTAAAGATCACTCATTTTAGGCACACAGCTGCGCTGAAGGAATTTGATCAAAGAAACATAGCGTTGCTATGCACAAACAGGACACCAGACTCCCAAAGACCCACAAGCAAGAGAGTGACCAGCACCTGCCACCATCACTCCCCACAGGCGAGCCAAGAGGGAGTCACAGCAAAATCCCAAATGGAGCGACAAGTTAAACACTTCTCATGGGGCACTTAGGAAAGGGAATGATAACTCGGCTCCAAAGCCCTTGCAAACGGAAAATAAACACTCCCTCCCAGATACCGGTATCCCCACTGAGGTGGCGCCAGGGGAAGGAAGGAGGGCCCAAAGAAACTACATGTGCCAACTCATGATCAACGCACTATCTACCGGAAAGAAACCGACTACCTAGTGCTAAAGATCACTCATTTTAGGCACACAGCTGCGCTGAAGGAATTTGATCAAAGAAACATAGCGTTGCTATGCACAAACAGGACACCAGACTCCCAAAGACCCACAAGCAAGAGAGTGACCAGCACCTGCCACCATCACTCCCCACAGGCGAGCCAAGAGGGAGTCACAGCAAAATCCCAAATGGAGCGACAAGTTAAACACTTCTCATGGGGCACTTAGGAAAGGGAATGATAACTCGGCTCCAAAGCCCTTGCAAACGGAAAATAAACACTCCCTCCCAGATACCGGTATCCACCCTCCCCACATTTGTGACGATTGCGGCACGAGAAGACCTGGGGAGGGTGCCAAGTGCACAGAAACTCGAAGACCCATGGGTGCAACATGGGAGAAAGAATAGAGGCTCCACAGCCATCAACAGGAAAAAGAAAGAGACGAAGACAGACCCCCTGGGTCACAATTTTTCAAGCTGCTTCAAAGTCAGGTCTGGCTTTGAGAGCCAGCCGCTGCAAGTGCCGCTCTCTTGACAGCGGAAGAGACAAATCGGTGAGACTAGCCAATCCATCTGTTATATAAATTCGCGCCGTCCGCGCATCATTCCATCTACCAACATGGCAAACCAAGGCCATGTTGTTCGTTTTTCTAAAATGGTGGGTGGCCCCACCCCGGCGACAACTGTACCACCGGAAAGGCCCGGTGAGACGTAAGTCTTTCAAAACCATTTTAGGCGAGAACGCTGTGTGGCTGGAGACACACTAGTTAAAAGATCACCGGGATGTAGTGGACGCACAAAGGAGCGCACAAGGCCCCCCACCCAGGAATCATCCAGGATGAGAGATTCGCGCGCCCCTATGCGCTGCCCCCTCTTGGTCAACGGTAGGGACCACACTCCATGATTCATGGAGTCAAAAGAAAAATCAGCTTTACGGGCTTGAAACAATTCTCCCGAACGTGGGTATCGATGGAATCCTAAGATGAGCAGAACACCAGTGTCCTTCCATCCAAAGTCAAAAGCTCTTTGAGCCAATGCGTACACCATTTTAGGTGTAAAAGGCGCCGCTCTCAGGGGTAGCATGCTCGAGTCCAAGCCGAATGCAGTCGCCATCCACCAGCCAGATGACCTTTGCAGCTTGGAATGAGGTGGCCTAAGCCAGACAAAAGGTCACCCGCCCAGCCTTTGGGGTCTCCATTCTCCCGAAGTTCCTCAATATATTCACAAGCGGCACTATCCAACTGAGCATTGCTGGTAGGGTAACTCATCTGATGTGCGATCAGAAAATCAAGAAAAGCATGCACAGCTTGGTGATACCTTTTGAGGGTCTGTGGTTGGACGACTTGGGACTGCAAAGTCCCAACTTGCTGTCTTGCTTTTGCCCGGGCTCGCCGCGTGCTCTCTGCCTTGATGACTTTACGGGGCATTACGCCATCGTGGAGGACCATCCACCAAAGACAGTGGATGGCTTGCCCACAGAACATGGAGCTCCACGCGTGCAGCCAGAAGCAAAGAAGCAAGACGTTGGACGGCAAAAGCTGGCCCGCCTGCCGTTGAACACAGCACGTGGGCATCCTGCATTTCCTTTACAGTCACCAAAACCACAGACCGTTGATGTGTGAGACTACGCAAAATGCGTTTGATTGCTGCTTCAGTTGCATTCACCAGGGTGTTCCAGCTGGTTCCCGCTGTAGTGCACCAAGCTTTTCCATTGAAAAGTTGAAGCATCGAAATTCCCATCGAAGATTCCCAGTCCGGAATTGCCAGGGGTAAGGCTCAGCATGGACGGGCTCTGGGTGGCCTGCCACAGGGCTAACTTAACACCCAGACCAACAGAAGGAGCGGCCATCATCCAAGACTGAACCTGACCACCACCCAGAACAGCCGACCCGCACAACTGACAGTGCAGCGAACAGGCCAGCAGCTTGGGCGGCAGCCAAGGCAATCCGGATCTGTACTCCTCAACTGTTTCATCATCCAACTCCTCCATCTTGAGCCATGCTTTCCAGATGGCCTTGGTGAGGTCACCCTGATAGGACTGAGCCGCAGGAAGGAGCCCACAGAGCAGGCGGGCAGCCACCACCACTGAGAACATGTTTCCCACTGCTTGGCCCATTTCACCTTCTGTGAAACGCACTTTTGTGTTTTTGAAATGCCATGAGTTCAGGCCAATCATCTTTGAGCATTCGATAGCTTTCAGGCGGCGGACACCTGTTTGGTCTCTGATCAACCAATCATCTTCATAGTGATACACTTGAAGCCGATAAGCATCACCTTTCCACCGATTCTTTGCTGCTTCGCTTGCAGTCTTGAGACCTGCGGCTATGGTAGGTGGAGTCACCTTTTTCACTGGCCTGGTGAATGTCGGCCAAGGGCCTGCATCCGGCTTCAGGCGTTCAGCCCCTTTTTCCAGATAGCTTTGAACATTCAGCAATTCCGTCTTGCACTCCACTGCCAGAAAATGCTCATATGGCTTTCCACAATGCACCTCCTGAATCGTCAGGTCGGACCCCAACGGGATTTCCAAGTTGCGAAGCCAAAATTGCCGAGGGCGACGGCACACCATGAACTGATCTCCTTTGATATGATGCGGGGCGTACCCGATCTTCTCAAAGACAATTTTTCTGTCAGCTTCATCAAACATGACATTTTCATAAAATTCCACCACCTTCCAGGGTAGACAGCCCCGACATGCACTGGCATTCTTCAGCCATGAAGAGATCTGCAGCATTGGCTCCAACAGCTTTCCCCTTGCAGAGTCAGCTCCAAGCCGATTTGCATTCAAACGGCTTTGGTCCTGGCAAGGCCATCCTCCTCCATGCAGCACCAAGGTCACGTTGGGGAAGCATTTTCGCCAAGTTAAGACATCCAGCTCTGAAACTTTCTCGATTGATGGGAGGACGATAGCATCAGGATGCCGCTGTTTGAAGTGTCGCCTGAGTTTCTCATCAGCTTCAACAAACACTATTCCTGCAGGGCAGATACCCAGCAATTTCAGGGCCTCAGTGAGGCTCCCAACTCCACCAAACTCCTCAATCACCATGATAGCCTCGTGCCTCTTCTCCTTTGCATAGTGAGCACCCAAATTAGTCTTCCGCCCTGCGAAACATGGCCCTGCTGGAGACGCTTCAGCTGCTCCTCCCGAACTAGCCCCCTTATCTGGAGCCACAGCTGGGCCAATCTTCAGCTTCAGGGGTAGCCCATGCAGTAGGGTGCACAGCAGGCCAATCCACAATCTGTCCCTTCCTTCTAAGGACAAGTGACTACTCTCACGATCCAGAACGCTCTCCAGCATAGGCTGCAAGAGAGAGGCACCGGCCAACGAGCACCGACTGATGTGCACCATCACATTGGTTAGGCTTCTAATGCCTTTCATTGTTGCCTGGGTTGAACCTTCCCTCATCAAGAGGAAAAGGGCTGCACCAATCAACTCGACCAGCAGACGAGCTTCAAAACGAAGCTCAGCTCCGGTCACTCGCAAGAACCATGGCTTCAGGCTCCTATGGTCATCACTTTGCTCTCCTTCCATCAAGACGATCTTCTCGCAAGACTCTGCCGTCCCAACCAAAGCTGCAAGTCGCCATCGACGGTTCGATGATGCTGGAGCCAGCCAGCAGAGGCATCTAAGTCGGGGATGGACAGCGGCCACCCCTCTGCCACCTTGAGCACAGGTGCAATGCCTCGGAGACCATGAACCACTATCATGCCATTGTGCCACCCCCTGGGAACAAGTCTCAGCCTTGGTCTACGTGGCATGCCCGTCATTCCAAAGACCTCCGCAGGCACCTCTTTGTCAAGGACAAAATCACCCCGCCAGATCTCCTCCAGGACATAGACCTCCACTGCCCCACCATAAAGTTCTGGGAGTGCCACCTTCAAACCCTGAGGATGTGCCACCAGGCGCCCGGCACGAGCATGATTCTGGCACACCACATCTGATGACTCGGCGAGGTCCTTGTGGAGAACATTCACCAAGTCCACGTCAAACACCAAACTGAGTAGGCGTTTCGGATCTCCATGCGGGGTTGCACACCAAGATCTATGGATTCCATAGATGCCACCGAGGGCCGGCATCCGTTGCTCGCCTGGGCCGGCCTCGTCGGCAACTTCCACAATGTCCCGAGCAGCCAATTCGCTGACCACCGTTGCCCATTCTTCATCTGACTTCACCATTACCAATGGACCTTCATGCTGATTTTGCTCTCTGGATCCAGTGCGATGCACCATCTCTACCCTGGTTTGGGTCCATTCCTTTGGTGACTTCAGCAGCCTTGAAAACTTCTGGCGCTTTGCGTCACCACTGGGCGTCAGGGTCCAAAAGGTTTCTTTAACAGCCTCCCAGCTAATGGCATAAGCCTGATGGAGCACCCCGCCGCAGTGGCCTGGACCCCTTTTCATAGACATCTCCTCCCATTGCCGCGGCTCGACTCGTTTATCCCCAGCACAGAAGTGTGCCACGCAACGCACAATGCGCTGCATGACGGCCTTCTGCGCCGAGGACTGGTCGCTGGCATGGAACGGCGCAAATGTCTCCTCCTTCTTGACGCCTCGGTGGGCCCAGTTAAGTGCGAGGACACACATCCATTCCCAAGCACTCTTGCCCACCTCAGAAAGCTCACGCTGTACCTCTTCACGATCACCTTGCTGAACTTCCAAGCCCTCCTTGAGTCTTTGCAGAGTACGAACAACTTTCAATTCCATTGAGCTGGCTTCTGGCATGTTCATGGGTAGCAAGGGGGTCAACTCCGCCTGTAAAGTCTTCAGCGCAGCAGTGGGGAGCACTCGTGCGTAGTTCCCAAGTTGTGAGGGACGACCCAGAAGAACGTACTTGAGCACTAACCCCAAGCCACAGACGGAGAGGCCCTCGCCAACCAGCGTCCTCAGCTCCCGTAGCCCTTCAACCTGAGTAGTTGGTAGGGCTGCATCGCTCTGAGCATGCAAGCACCATTTATCCACCAGCTCTTTGGCATTCCAAACTTCGTCCTCCGCTCCGACATACAAGGGACGTCTCACCAAGGCTAGGCGTCCGGTGACGGGGGAAATCTTTTCCTTGGCATCACCCCAAAAATTCGACCTTGGGCAGAAGGCTGATCCATTACCAACATAGACTCCACCATCTCCAGGGTTAGACCACCAAGCTGAAGTTGCCAGAATAATTTTTACACCTCTGTAATCCTCCAAGACTCGGCCTCCCGCCGGCGGGTCCAATGGCTCAGGGACGGCCTCAGCCGCCCCTGTCCATGGCGGCCGCAGATATTCATTGCCCAACTCCGGACGAATTCTCATCAGCCTGGACAACAGCACTTCGGCCTTATCTCCCTGGCTGAAGCCTTCCAAAACTGCTGTCCATTCTCTGGACGCCGCATCTCTCTTTCCCTCAGGGAGGCAGCCGAGCATGTTGCTGAGAAGGTCAGTCACTTGCTCATCTGATGTCCAACCCTCAAAATTTGCTTCGGCAGGACTTACCATCGGCCTTTGCCCCGTCCTTTCTTGCCTTTCTTTCCTTTCCTGGGCTCTTCGTTGGGGGGCGCGTTGTCGCCCTCCTTCACATCCTTCGGAGTCTTGCTCGTGTCGTCCTGAGCGGTCTGCCTCCAAGGTGCCGGCGCCCGGAATGGTCGCCAACTCCCCTTTCCCTGCAGCTTCTGGTCGGATTTGAGTTGCGACTGCGCGGCCTTCAGCTCCTGCGTGAAGTAGGATCGAGCCTCCTCCATGTCCACAAGCTCCAACAGATTTGCTTGCTGCCAACTCTGCTGTTCGACGCTCAGCTCCAAGGCCTTCTGTCTTTGTAGCAGGACGTCTAAGGCTGATGGGACCATGTTTTTCGTCAGGTAGTCGACCACCAGCATCAATGTCCTCATTTCCCGTGACGTACGTTGCCCCAGGCCCTGCATCGGGTGCTGGACGAAATACACCTGTTGGAGGTAGGCCCTCCCCACCGAGGGCATCACCTCTTCCGTCTCTTCGGCCCCCCTTCCTGTGCTCCTCAAAAGAAGCTCCCGGTATCGCTGCAGAGTCAAGTCTGCTAGTCTTCCCGGCCTCTTCAAGTGGGTTCTCTTGAGGCGGTCGATACCTTCCGGAAGGGGGGCCACACGAAAAAATGAAGAATCGTCGCTTGAACCATCTGACGACCCCTCTGACGAGCTTGTCTGTTTGGCTTCCCTATCCTTGTCAGATCGCTTCTTCTTCCTCTTCTTTTTCTTCTTGGCCCTCCTTAATTCAAGCGCGGACTCAGCCTGGGAAAGGGGCTTTCGCTTTCCAAGGATCTTTCCATAATCCCTGCGATCCGAAGACGATTCGGACCCTTCTTTTTCATTTAATCTCTTCTTCTTCTTGGCTGGCTGCGACTTCAGCTTGCCCGGGCCCTCATCATTCTGATCTTCATCCTTTCCCTGGTCCCGTTCGCCACCAGCAGGGGTCCCTTCCAGTGCCTGCCGGAGGCCAGTGACCCCAGCAGGACCAGGTTGAACTCCCACCGAGCGGCCAGGGACTTCGGCAAGGCCTTGGCTTTTACTTCAGCCCTCATCTCAGCACTGCACCATCGCGCCTTCTCAGCCTCATCTGCTGTGACAATTCGAAAGACATCTGCATGGATGAGGGCGCGGTAGAACTCACACGAATGCTCAGGTTTGATGCAAAAGTGCACAAAGGCTTCGACCTGGTCGGTCATTTTTCCTATGGTGTTCTCGAACCACCACTTGTAGTATGGGTCTTCAATGGCCAACATCTGGCCACCCCAGGTGTGGCCTCCTTCCTTATCCGAATTGAGTGGGTCTCTTCGCCCAAGCTGGAAGAGAAAGTGTCCCATCCTTGATCCATCTTCATGGTAGGCGGCGCACTCCACGATCACCAGGCCATCCAGCCCCAGGAAGTGGTCATGGCTTGCGCATCTGCCCGTTTTTCTCCATGGCTCGGGCATGCACTTCAGATAACCCTCAGGCTCCCACCTGCCTCAGGAGGACCTTTCCTCTTAATTACTTCTCCTTCCTCTTCGTTTAAACTCGAACGTTTTCGTTGTGGGTCTTTCCCTGTCGTTCCAAGTCTCTTTTTTTTCCTTGCAGCGTTGTCCTCCTCTTTTAATAGGTCTTTCCTCTTAATTGCTTTTCCTTCCTCTTCGCTTAAACTCGGGCCTTTTCGTTGTGGGTCTTTCCCTGTCGTTCCAAGTCTCTTTTTTTTCGTCGCAGCGTTGTCCGCTTCTTTCAATAAGTCCTTCCTCTAAATATTGCTTCTCCTTCCTTTTCGTTTAAACTGGGGCGTTTTCGTTGTGGGTCTTTCCCTGTCGTTCCAAGACTCCTTTTTTTCGTTGCAGCGTTGTCCGCTTCTTTCAATACATCTTTCCTCTTAATTGCTTCTCCTTCCTCTTCGCTTAAACTCGGGCGTTTTCGTTGTGGGTCTTTCCCTGTCGTTCCAAGGCTCTTTTTTTCCGTTGCAGCGTTGTCCGCTTCTTTTAATAAGTCTTTCCTCTTAATTGCTTCTCCTTCCTTTTCGTTTAAACTCGGGCGTTTTCGTTGTGGGTCTTTCCCTGTCGTTCCAAGTCTCTTTTTTTTCGTCGCAGCGTTGTCCGCTTCTTTTCATAAGTCTTTCCTCTTAATTGCTTCTCCTTCCTTTTCGTTGGAACTCGTGCGTTTTCGTTGTGGGTCTTTCCCTGTCGTTCCGAGTGTGGGTTAGCCGCGGAAAATGTGGAAAAGTTTCCGTGGGTTAGCCGCGGAAAATGTGGAGAAGTTTCCGTGGGTTAGCCGCGGAAAATGTGGAAAAGTTTCCGCGGGTTAGCCGCGGAAAATGTGGAAAAGTTTCCGTGGGTTAGCCGCGGAAAATGTGGAAAAGTTTCCGTGGGAGGATGTCAGGCGGCCACTTGCGGCCACTTGCGGCCACTTGCGACCACTCAAGTGGCTGCAAGTGGCCGCAAGTGGCTGCCGGTGACAAGAGAATGCTGGCGGCCACTTGCGGCCACTTGCGGCCACTCGAGTGGCTGCAAGTGGCTGCCATTTCCAAAATCAAATTACGCGCCTCCTGCGTGCTCAATGTGGTTTCATTGAGATCCCATCCAGTGCATGTGTCAAGAGAAAGTCCCTTGAGCCCCAGCTTCTCAACCTCCGGCACAGAGCGTGGCGGACATAAGACTTCAACAACAGCATATTTCTTGCCTACTTTGGAAGACCGGACACCTTCTTTCACCTGTTTCCTAAGGCTACGGAGCTGTTTCTTGGAGATACCACCTTGCTTTTTGCTGGAAGAAACCCCTTGGACCGCATGACAAGGCTTGGACTGGCAAGGACAGGACACACCCTCTCGGGAGGGCACCAGACATGGACGCGTTATCCTTAGGCTTATATAATTTTGTACCTTATCAGGTGGGTTATGTGGGCTACCAACATTATCGGGCGGCCTACATTGGGGATCTATCCCTTCGGTTGACACGGGCACCTCGTCTCGTGGTTCGTCCTGCTTGGTGACGACATGGGCTTCAATGTCAATGGCATTCTTTGGAAAATCCAAAACATCGATGATGTACTGTCCTGCGGCATTATAGGCTTGAGGTTCAAGTCGACGGCACCATGAAACAATTGCAGTCGATCAGCATGGAAATCAATGGTGGCGCCCAAACGCTTGAGCGGTGGTCTCAAGAGCAGCAGTGGTGCGTCGCCCTGGACAACGGCGGCCTGAACTGTTCCAAAACGACCAGCTAATCCCACCGGCATGATCACTGTCAATGTAGTTGTTTCACGATCACCGTTTCCAAACTTGAAGACATTGGTTTCCGACTTGAACTTTGGAGAATACCTCCCATCATCCTGCCAGAGTCTCTGAAACTGTTTCAGGGTACGATCACCAATGATGGTCTTTCCACAACCAGAATCCAGAACAGCAAAACCTGGGCTGCTCACCAAGAAAATCTCAAAGGCAGGTTGTTCCATCGACTGTGAAGAAACCTCATGCTGAGTTGTAAAACGCTGTTTGAACTGTTGTACCAACGTCTGTTGACATCCCACTGAAGCCACGAACTCCGGTTGTGCCGCAGGCACGGATGCTTCTTGTGCTACATAGACAGCTCCACTTTCTTTCGGTGAAGACTTTGACTGTGAGGCTGTTGATGTCGAGGGCTTGGAAGAGCTATCCCTCTTCTGTCGGCACTCTCGCGCCCAATGCCCCACCCGATGACACCTGTTGCACTTCGTTTTCTTCTTGGGTTCTTCTATCTCAACCCTGAACGACCGTCGCAGCTCTTTGGCCTGGTCAAAACGACGACCCTTCTGCAGCTTGGCTATTTCAGCCCTTTTCTCTTTCTGTTTGGCAGCACAGCGGTATTGGGCTCTTTTTCTATGCTTGATAGAAAAGGGCTGCAGGTATATGTACTGTACAACATGCACATGTAGGGGTTGGCTTTTATATGACAGCTCAACACCCCGCCTGGTGCCACAGTTTCACTGTTTGCACCGTCCATTCAAAAGCCATGCCAGCTCAAGCCCTTCAGTCCGTCTTCAGCTTGTACTGTGTGCTGCATGTCTTGCACACCAGCTTGGCTGTGACTCCACGGCTTTTCTTCAGGTGTTTGCATCCGAGGTCCATATGCAACACCTTGCTGGTGGGAGCTTCATAGATTCTCAACTCGTCAACGCTCACCACCTTCTCGTTCTTGGATCGGCACCATGACCAGATCCATGCAGACATCATCCCCAAAAGGTATGCTGCAACAAATAGGAAACAAACTGGGTTGTAGCTATTTCCCATTTCTTCAGATCCATCGACCCCAGTCACGCCAGCCAACTGCGTCAACAGTGTCACCGCGGACAACAATTGACCTGCTTGCGCAGCTGTGATGGTCGAACCACCTAGGGCCTTGACCTGATTCACCTTTTCTTCCATCATTCTCAGTCCACAGCTAGTCACCAATTCTTGAAATCGGGACTTGGCCAACACCTTCGTTCCAAGATCGCTGTTGTCGTCCTTTCCAGCTTGCCAAGTCATCGTCAGCAAGCCTTTATAGACCATTTGCTGGAGCCAGAGCACTTTCACTTCAAGTGTCGAACGCGTCCTACACCCAAACGGTGTGTCATGGCGTTGTTGGCCGAAGAATCGGACAACGTTCGGAGCCCTAGCACCATTCCAAGAAATGCTAAAGCTTTTCTGAGCAAAATGCCCTCGCTAACTCCTGCCGCCGTGGCATAGAGTTCAGCTTCTCCACTGCTTTGTGCAATGACTGACTGTCTCCTAGTGAACGAGTGCACAAGGCACTTTCCCACATATATATGGGCTGCAGTCCTGGACTTCCTAGTCACAGGATCCTTGGCCCAATCTGAATCAGTCATGACCACGACATCATCACAACCTTCCAGGTCTTGGTCGAAAAAGAGTCCAAGGTCTTTGGTACCCAAAATGTACCTGACCATGTGACGTGCACCTTCCATGGACCTGATTGTGGGGCAAGCCATGCACATGGCGAGCTCATTCACCCCATACTGGATGTCCGGTCGGTCAGTGGACATGTACATCGGTATACTTATACCCCGACAATTGCCCGGTAGCGTCGAATCTCCTCATCCTGAAGGGGCTCCGACGGTTCCAGAGTGGCCACCTCCTTTGTGATCGGAGTTTCTCTGGGCTTGGATCTTTCGTCAAGTCCGCACAAGTCCAGCAGTTTCTTCAGGTGGTTTTCACTTGGCTGAATCCATACACCTTCTTTGGTCACCGTGCGTCGTTGCTTCAAGTGTGTGAAAGAAGGATTCCCGTCATGGTCAGGTCCTTCAATCAACAGCGTGAGGTGTTCACCAATCTGCTTCAGCAATCTCTCAGGTGCCGTTCCTGGTCCCACTGCATAGAAATCGTCGACGTGCACCTCAAGAGACACCTGTTCCTTGACATGGTGGTAAAGGTGTGGCACCTCAGCACATCGTGTGAATCCCACTTTTTCGGTGATGATTTCATTGGAAAAGTCTCCGAACATCCTGGGAGCTTTCTGGCGACCTTGGAGCTGTCTCTCCAGTTTCCATACCCAGTCAGTTCCAGGATGCTGTTCCAACCACTCCAGAGGTGGTTCTACGATGCAATCTTCAGGTTCAGGTGCATGGAAAAATGCACATTCAACGTCGGCTGTGTGAGCATTAAAGTTCGGATTCTTGGCAAGCAGCAAGTCCAACAATCGTGATGTATTTGATGAACTCGTGACTCCAAAGATGTCATCACAATTCGGCTGTTGCCACCTGTATTCTCGGGCAACAAAGCGTGACCTGACCACCCATCTTCCTTGCTTCCACTTGGGGATCTCTTCCCATCTGGTGGTCACATACTTGCCAACAGCCTGATCACGGGGCACCGGGGTAAAGACCCCATAGGCCTCCAGGCGGCTCATTTCCTTTTCTTTGCCCAAACGGTTTTCAAGTTCCCACCGATCGTCATCCCATGAGTCAGGATGATCGTGAAATCCCTGACCATCGTCTTCTGCCAAATGCTCAAGGCTATCCTCGGGCAACTCGATGGGATCTTCATCTACATGGCCACCTGCTTCAATGAGCAGCACTTGACCTTCATGTTGTTCCTCGGGGTCATCCAGGTGTCCAGGTGACCGCGGATCCAGAACATCAAGCGAGGTTTCAGCTGCCCGCTTTGTTCCAGTTGTCGGATTGAGCGCAGTCTTCTTTGGACTCCCAGGTCCACCGACTTCAGCTGACTACCCGAGGGTCTTGCAGGCTCTTCAGCATCAGTTGGTGCCACAGTCAAAAGCGATGAATCCGGCTGTCTCACCACCTCGGGCAGAGGCAAGGCGAATCGGATGGGTTCTCGCTGAATCCGCTCGTTCGGGACTGCACCTGAGGCAGTATCCATGGAAAACCCTTCATGCTCAGGAAAGATTCTGCATTCCACTGGCGTTCAGGAAACATTCTTCGGACTGTGCGACATCGGTACACACCTTGAGGAGTTCCTACTAGGTGCTCGTCCGAATCTTCCGCTCTGCCGACCCAGATGCCAGGCCTCATAGAAGCATCCATCTTCTGTTTCCTCCTCCCCTGGCGCTGGCGACGGCTAGAAGGGATTGCATGGTTCAAGAAAGAGGACATGTTCTCCGAATGCCACAACTTCATTGGTGCACCGTGTTCGGTACAATTCCTCAAAGCATGTTTTTCCGTTGCTTTTGACGTGAAAGCGATTATGGAGCCAGGCCGCGTGGCGAATCAGCCAGCTCCAGGCAGCATGCTCTGAAGACATGCGAAGGCCCAATCGCAATTCCACTGCAACGCGAAGAGATGCCGCAAGGCGTCGAACAGTTTGGATAGCACGTTCAGCCCGTCCATTTGACTGTGACGAATACAATGGACTCTCTTCGACAAGGGCACGATATTCCCACTGTTCCTTGACAGCAGCGATCAGCGCCTTGAGCACAGGCTCACTGTCACTTTTCAAGATGACATTCTGATGACGCATCAGTTTCAGGAATGTCAGCACCATTCAAGTGAGATGCGGCAGGTGTTGGTCCCCTTTGCCAGGTGAGGGTACTGCAACAAACCCAGTTTCAGCATCTATGATCAGCAAGGCTTGTGTGATCCCTGCAGACTTCTGCCCAGACTCCGTGGAACTGGCTACCTCGAACCAATCCATGCAGATGGTCGGACGAAGTCGTGCACCTTCCAGGGCCCCTTCTCCCTTCAGCTTCAAACCAAGGTGAGGAAGATCACGGCCTCTGCCTCGCACACATGCCTCACACCAAGGCTGATAAGGGAGATGAGTCAACTCATGCATCAGCCGTTCAACCTCTGAAGGTGCCTGGGGTGTTTTGAGTTCTACCGGTGCTCTTCCCAGATTTGGATTCCTGTTCAGTTCTTCTTCTCGCTCCTGAAGGCGAGCTTCGATCTCTTGTTTTGCGCGGAACCGGCTCTCATACTCCTGAAGCCGTTCCCAAAGTTGCGTCTTGGTACCCCACACTGGTGCACTGAGCTGCTTCAGTCGTAACCTCAAATGTTCGACTTTGCTGTTTTGGTTCAGCTCTGGTCCTCTTGGGACATCAACAGCATGGCACACTGATGGCTCAGCATTCCCATCTCTTCGGATCTGGAACTCCGTGGTTCCGACCCAATCCTGTTGCACACATTCCGGCTCCTGGCGTGGATTGTGCCAGTCATCATTCACTTCCACAGTTCCATTGTCCTTACCGTAGACTGTGGTCTTGCGGTTGTTCATCAGCGTCTCTTTGGTCACATCCAACTACTCAAAATCCTGGTCAGTTGGGGTGTACAACCCACGTCGCGGTGTGTGACTTTTCCCTTTGTTCTTACCTTTGGTCTTGCCCTTGGCTTTGCCACTTTTCCCCCAGCCATCTCCCTTTTGGGTTGGATGACTGCCTTGTCCGTTGTCAACCTTTCGAGCTTTCTTCCTTTGTCGTGCATTCCAGTTGTCTGCACGCTTCTCCTCCTCTGTCCACTCCGAACGTCGTTTCTTCGGACGACCGGTCGGACGGTCAGGTGGAGGTCCTGCTGGTTCTGTGGGACGTCTTTGGGCTTCTTTGAGACGAACTCCTGCTGTGGGCTCCTCCTCAACCTTGACGTCCTGTTCTTCTTCTTCTGAGCTGCGACCGTAGTCTGCCGAATTGGTGTCTCGGTACCTGGTGTACCTGTCACTGTAGGACGACGACGTACTTTCTTCGGTCTCCTCCTTGCTTTTGCCTCTTGTTTCTGAAGCCTTTGATTCAGGTGCTCCTCTGGCTCCTGATGATGGGGCTGAAGAAGCTGGAATCTCCTGGGACTCTGGCTTACTCTTGGCCCCTTGGGGAACTACCATGGCTCCCTTAACATCTTTGGATTTGGCATCTGAAGCGTCTTCTCCTCCAGCTGCAGGGCTCTTCGCAGACTCCTTGGTCGTTGGACCTTGGCCTTGCACCTTTCGAACATCCTTCACACCTTGGGTCTCCTTGGACCCCTTACTCAATCGAGTCTCCGGTGACTCTTTGGGTGATCGAGTCTCCTTGGACTCCTTCGGTGATTTCGTCTCCTCCTGCTTGACAGAGGTCTCACCCGACTTCTTTGCAAGAGCTTTCGGCAGCGCCCGTGGCACCCGTTCTTGCCTCACTGGAACTCGTCGGGCTGAAGCAGCTTTCTCCGGCTTCGCCTCTTCCAATTGGATTTTCGAGGGCTCCACTCGCATGCGTTGTTTGTATTTGACCACTCCGTCCCCGATCGTCATCATCTTCGTGCTTCCGATCTGCTGGACCCAGTCACAATCATCCTTCGGCACCATGGGATAGCAAGGGATGTAGTAACTCTGCAACATTCGGGTGACTTTGAAAGTCATTCCATCCAATTGCAGCACATCTCCTCCCTCAGCACCAATTTTCAATTGTGCATTAAGTCCTGCAACCAACTTGCCAAGTGACAAAATTGGCTGTTTGACGGGATCTCGATCTCAGCTGTCCGATCAGCACCGTAGAATTTCAATCCAACGATGCGATACCTCGACTCATGGCTGATGACACTTCCTTGAGCGTCACGCAACACAGGGCCATTCCTCCTAGTAGTTGTTCTACGCCATGGAGCGAAATCCTCTGGGCACAAATACTCATCACTGCCAGAGTCGATCAGCACCATGGCTCGACCGTCTTCTGTGCAAGATCTCACCCCAGTTGATGTCACCCTCAACTCGGTCTCTGGCGACGTATCCGCTTCTTGCTGTCGGACTACCGTCACCGTCGCTCCGGTCTCCGGTGCAGTGACCTGGTTGACCTTCCCTTTGGCGTCACCTTCTTTGTACCTTTGGTAGCATTTGTCCGCCGCATGGTTGGTCTTTCCACAGATCTGACATTTGGTCTTGGCTCCTTGGGTGTCTCCAGTGGACGACCCTTTTCCCTTCTGGCCAGACCCCTTGCCTTTTCCACTAGCATTGGATTTTCCATCCTTATACCAGCACTCCCCCTTGTGTGCCTTTCCGCATTGCTTGCACACCGAGGGCTTATCCCCTTTGGAGCTTTTACCCTTGCTCCCTGATTTTCCTTTTGCCTTACCACCCTTCGAGGCCTGTACCTGGTCCACATCCATAGGCACGGCTCCTGAGGTGTGGTCGTACACCGACACTTCCTTGAGCGGCGCGTAGCGGCGCTCAGCTACCTCATACTCCGTGACTGTCGCCTTCACATCGGCATAGGTAGTGGTATCCTTGACCAACATGTTGACATGGACTTTGATCTCGGGAGGCAACAATCGCCGCAATGCCGCGATCTTGACATGCTCACTGAGGACCTCGTGGCTTGTCGCCTCATAATCAGTGAACAGCCGTTCCACCGATATGATATGATAGCGTCCCGAAGATTGGTCCCTGTAGGTGGAGCTGGAACCATCAAGATCGCTTCGAGCAAGCCTAAAGCCGCTGCCCCCCATCTTGGCTCTATGTCCAAGTGGAACCTCCTCATGGCTTCATAGCCATTTCTGGTTGAGGCCAGCACAGGGTCCTTCAGCATTGTGAGAAGTCTTCCACGGGCATTCCCACAGAGATACGTAAACAGCTGTCTGGATCTTGCTTGGGTCTCTGCTGTCAGTATGTTCATCACCAGCGCATTGTCTTTCCAGCGCTGCTTTGATCTCTGAGGTGTACTGTTGGTCTTTCGACCCCAAGTAATGGGTCATGGCAAAGCGCCAATCTGCCCACAATCGGCGGTCTTCTTCTGGCCTGCCAGAGAGCTCAAGTTCCTTGGGCTTAGTGGCCAGTCCTTGTACTTGGGCACGGCGTACCTCGGCCAATGCCTGCATTGCCGTCTCAGCGGCTGCAGTGGCAGCTGCCAAGGCCGCCGCCAGGTGTTCTGCCATGGCCTGAGCTGGAGCGTCACCAGGACAGCTCCGCTACCATGTTTGGCAGCACAGCGGTATTGGGCTCTTTTTCTTTGCTTGATACAAAGGGCTGCAAGTATATGTACTGCACAACATGCACATGTAGGTGCTGGCTTTTATATGACAGCTCAACACTTTCCAGGTTGAGGCTAGGACCTCTGCTACTTCCTGCTCATGGAAAAACTCAGATTCATCAGCTGGAAAAGTGACCTCATGATCTGCGAGGAAGAGCTCCACATCGTCGAAGCCCCCAACCTCTGATTCGTTGCCGGGTACAGCCCCAGTGTTTTCACCATCAGCCAGCGCCACCGCCTTACGGCGGCCAACAACGAAATCTGGGTAACAACTTCTCATAGCTTTGCTAATCTCTTCCCTCTTGGGCACTCTTAATGAGCGACCTTTGACAACGGCCTGCTGTTCTTCTGTCAAGCCGCTCCATTTCAGCAGTACAAATCCACGAGCCTCTTCAGGAAACTTGACACCACCTTTGCGTTCACAACGGTCAAACAGATCTGTGGCTCGGCTAACCCAAGCACGAAGGCTTTCCCCCTCAGTGGCACGCAGTGAAAACACCTCGTTGAGGACTTCGGCTAGCTCATCCGTTTGGTCACGTTCAGGGAAACGAGCATCAAGGAGTCTGAGCAAAACCTGCTCACCTCCATCCTTTTGATATTCCGCTGGGTCAACATGCTCCACTGTCTCTAAGGCTTTACCTGTCAGGCATGTGAACAGATATGGCCCACGAGCATCAGATTGCAGTTTGTCGAGCGTCTTGAACTTGTTTGAAAGCCAAAGCTTCCATCTTCTATACTCCTTGTAGTCTTCCGATTCACCAGAGAAATAGCGAATCCCTCCGGATGCCTCACTGGTGGACGAGGCGGGTCCGGAGGACATGGATGCTGTGCTCCTAGCTCCTCCTGGAGCTTGAATACTTCCAGGCACCTGTTTTTCAAGCGGTCAGGCTCCGCTACCAATGTTATTGGCAGCAAGCCTATGGGGTTCTCCTGAACCTTGCAGTGACCTCCTGGTCCCACAAACTGACACTTTGTCACACCATAGCGACCGCGACTCTGGTAAAGGTTCCTGGCTATGATTGGGCCAAATGGCCAAGAACACTGCAATGCTGATACCCTGCTGGGTGCTGTGGCATTAACATATACATATATATTATAGTAATGTTATATATGTTCAAAAAAAATATCCTTTTTTAATATTGCATATACTTTGCACATTTTACCGATTGTAAATATTGTTTATATATATATAATATATATCTATAAATAGTATATCATATTTCTAACCTTGTATATATTTCCAGAAAAAAATGTAATATTAAGATCTATAAATAAATATATTACACACTATATCTATATATACACTAAATATATATATATATATGTGTTTGTGTGTGTGTATCATTATCTTTGAACTAAAAAATATTCTTCGTATATTGCAGGTGTTTGAAAGATGTATTTATACATGTTTTACATTTGCTATTTTTTCTTGAAACTACATAAGTTACAGGTGCCGCCAACCACGTCACAAAGTCAGGTAGTGACAAGTCCAAAGAAGGGCGGCGACACTTAGCACCGACACCCCCTTGATCCATGTAGTCTTGAGAATGCAATGCAGCCTTTCAATTCGATGCTTGCAGACATTATATACTATTTATTATCTATTGTATAGTATTGTTCATACAGCCTGTATGCACTATACATTGTATAGTATTTATTATGTTTTTCAAATTCTATACTATATATTATTTTAACCGAAGGAAGTTTACAAATCAAACTTCCGACAATATCGACAGATGAAAAGCAGAGTAGGGCAGAGGCAGAGAGAAGAGAAAGATTAGAAGAGAGAAGAGTAGAAGAGAAAGAGTCAGAAGAAAAGGAAGAGATGGAAGAGTTGAGAGAAAAGGCTAAGCGAAGGAGGAAAAAGGATTTAGCAGGAATATAGGGGAAAGGAAGGAAGGAGGAATAGGAAAGGAAACAGGAAGGAGGAAAGGAAAAGGAGGAAAGTAGCGAAACACTGTGTTTTTCCAATGTTTGTGGCCCGGAAGGGTCAAAAAGTAGGCTCGCTTAAAGCGGCGGGTGCAGCTGGCCCAGATGAGAGATGGAAAAATTGCCACGTCGTTTGTGGCGCGAAGCACACTTCGAAGTCAAAATGAATCAAACACCTCAGTGTCGGACCACTTTTGGAAGTTGAGATGTCGAAAAAGTGCACGCCGTTGTGGCGCGAAGCACACTTCGAAGTCAAAATGAATCAAACACCTCAGTGTCGGACCACTTTTGGAAGTTGAGATGTCGAAAAAGTGCACGCCGTTGTGGCGCGAAGCACACTTCGAAGTCAAAATGAATCAAACACCTCAGTGTCGGACCACTTTTGGAAGTTGCCATGTCGAAAAAGTGCACGCCGTTGTGGCCCGAAGCACATTTCGAAGTCAAAATGTTAAAAACACTGGGGGTTCGGACCACTTTTGGAGGGTCAGATGTCGCTTCGCTTCGCTTCAGTACACTACACTACATTACACTACACTCCACTACAGTCCACTACACTACATTACATTACACAACACTACAACGACAACTACACAATTACACTCCACTATACTCCACTACACTCCACTACACTAAATTACACTACACTACATTACAGTACACCACACTCTACTACACTACACTACACTACATTACACTACACTACACTACCTTCGACTGCACTTCACTACATTGCACTACACTGCACTCCACTACACGACAACTACAACTACAACTACACCAGTCCATCAGATACATACACCAGTCCATCCTCGCTCTGCCATCCCTGATTCACAACAACCAACCTCTCCTATAGGTTTCCTAGTTTTGAAACTTCCGCCACCGCCTTGTGCGGTACTACTGGTATATTATGCCTTCTCTTATAGATTGTTTATTCAAATGTGCTATATATCATACACATTACAGGATGGTAACCCCATCAAAATAAAACTATAAGGATCAACCTGGGCTTTGACCTAAAGGACCCGGGCCAAGTCTTTGTAAGCCATAATCTGCCTGGCCCGGGTCTGCCCCTCTACAAAATACAATGTGTACCGAGGGATTGCCGGTACAAAATGCAAAACCAGGTCAAGTTTTGCCACTACAAAATGCAAATATACCCAACATGAATATTCGGTACAAAATTTTCAGGGGATGCTACTTGCTGATCTACTGCTTGCAATTTACATTTTGTACCGAAACCTACTTCCACCCTTAAAAACATGTACCACTTGTGCCCCCCCATGAGGTTTGCATTTTGTACCGAGCTGTGATTAGCTGTGGTTCAGGATGAATCTGACCAATTTATGACCAATTTACAATATTTTTATGTTGTCTGCTATACAGCTAACTCCTGTAAACCTGTTTTTTTTAAGCGAGAAAAAAAAGCAAAAAAAAAAACGATTTGAAAAAGCAAAAAAAGAAAAAAAAGCGCTTGAAAAAAAAAGAAAAAAAGCGATTGGAAAAAAAACGCCAAAAAAGGCGATTTGAAAAAGCAAAAAAAAGCAAGAAAAGTGGCACTTCCGGATGTGTTTTTTCATTGTGTTTTGGATGTGGGTTGTAGTTCGGTTGTGCTGAAGCATGGCCTGTGATTGTCCTATCTGCCGCTACCTGGTGATGTTGCCTTTTCTTGGCAGGTCATCTTGCAGAAGCAGAAGACGCACTTGCCTGTGAGCCTGGAGTCGCTTTCGCTGAGAATGTCATCCCACTTTTGGAGCTTGCAGATGAAAGAGTATGCCTCGGATCGTGACAAGGCGCCTGGGCACATGAACTTTGGCTAGGTTTGGGGGAAACTTTGCATTTTTGGCCGCTCCATCCGGGAAGGTGGTGAAGGTGGCTGGAAACTTGGGGGGAACCCCTCGTCTGGAAGGGGGGCTCCTCCCAAATCGCTTTTTTTTTGCTTTTTTGTTGCCCAAAAAAAAAGCCCCCAAAAAAAAAAAGCGATTTTTGACCCCGCCTCCTCCCAGGATCCCCCCAGCCAGGTCCCGGGGTAGGGTCAGCCAGGGGGTTGGACCCCCCAGCCTAGGTCCCGCGGGTAGGGTCAGCGAGGAGGTTGGACCCCCGTCTGGGCGGCGAGGGGCTCACTTTGGGCATAAATTCGGGCTCACTTAGGGCAAAAATTTTCGAGGTTCACTTTGGGCATAAAATGGGCTCACTTTGGGCATATGTGGCTCACTTAGGGCATATCTGGACTCACTTAGGGCATATCTGGGCTCACTTCAGGCATATCCGGGCTCACTTCAGGCATAAATGCACTCACTTTCAGCAAAAAAGGGCTCGACACCTTTAGGGTTTCTATGTTGTTGCACTTCATCTAAAAAGAGCCACGGCACCTTTAGGGTTTATATGTTGTTGCACTTGATCTTAGAAGAGCCACGACATCTTTAGGGTTTATATGTTGTTGCACTCAATGTAAGAAGAGCCACGACACCTTTAGGGTTTATATGTTGTTGCACTTAATGTAAGAAGGGCCACGACACCTTTAGTTATATATGTTGTTGCACTTAATGTAAGAAGGGCCACGACACCTTTAGGGTTTATATGTTGTTGCACTCAATGTAAGAAGAGCCACGACACCTTTAGGGTCTTTATGTTGTTGCATTTAATGTAAGAAGAGCCACGACACCTTTAGGGTTTATATGTTGTTGCACTCAATGTAAGAAGAGCCACGACACCTTTAGGGTTTATATGTTGTTGCACTTAATGTAAGAAGGACCACGACCCCTTTAGGGTTTATATGGTGTTACACTTAATCTAAGAAGGGCCACGACACCTTTAGGATTTATATGTTGTTGCACTTAATCTTAGAAGAGCCACGACCCCTCTAGGGTTTATATGTTCTTGCACTTAATCTTAGAAGGGCCACGACACCTTTAGGAATTATATCTTGTTGCACTCACTCAATCTAAGAAGAGCCACGACACCTTCAGGGTTTATATGTTGTTGCACTTAATGTAAGAAGGGCCACGACACCTTTAGGGTTTATATGTTGTTGCACTTAATGTAAGAAGAGCCACGACACCTTTGGGGTTTATATGCTGTTGCACTCAATGTAAGAAGAGCCACGACAAATTTAGGGTTTATATGTTGTTGCACTTAATGTAAGAAGGGCCACGACCCCTTTAGGGTTTATATGTTCTTGCACTTAAGCTAAGAAGGGCCACGACCCCTTTAGGGTTTATATGTTGTTGCACTTTATCTAAGAAGGGCCACGACACCTTTAGGGTTTTTATGTTGCTGCACTTAATTCTAAGAAGGGCCACGACACCTAGGGTTTTTATGTTGCTGCAATTGATCTTAGAAGAGGCACGAAAC